AAAGGTTTTTCATTAATTAATAACGAGTGTAAACGCAGCCTCCGCTGTGCCAGTATTCCCCGGGGCTCTCCCCAGCAGAGCTACGGCTGGTGCCGAGCTCTCTGGCTTTCTTCACCCAGTTTGGCTGTGCTGGAGGGTGTTGTGGCAGTAACCATGAAGGAGTGGAGAGCGGTGGGGGTTTCCTCAGCTGGGAATGTCCCGTGTGTCCCCAGAAAGCTGCGTTGGCACAGCTTCCAGAACTCACACCGGCCCAGCCTGAACTCGGCCTCGCTGGAGATCAACCGGCAGTCCTCAGCCCAGCTCAACCTGCTCCAGAAGTGCTCCCTGCTCCGGCTCACGGCCATCATGGAGAAGTACTCCGTGCCCCACAAGCAGGCCTGGACGTGGTGAGCTGGGGAGAGGGGGACCAGGATGGGGCCCATGGGCTGCAGCTCGTGCTGTGTGCCCAGCCTGGGGCAGCTTCAGGGTGTGGAGGGGGAAAAGCTAAACCAAGGGCTGTCTGCTATGGCAAGTGTGAGCCAGAGCTGAGCCCCGGGCTCCTGGAATCGCCCTGGCTTCCAGGGGAGCTCCTGGCATCATCTGCCACTGTGGGGGCTGCAGGTGTTCGTGGGGCATTAAAAATGCTGCAGCAACATACGAGAGTGGGACAGTGGTTTCTTTTCATAGCCAAGTATCAAAATTATTTTAGCTTAATAAAAGGTGCTGCCATTCCTGCTGGGAAGCTGCCTTGCTTGTGTTGCAAATACTGCAGAAATGTGTTTATGTGTGTGTATTCCTAGGATCCTGCTCTCTCTGTGAGGGGAGGTGCTGAGGGCACCGATTCATTGCACTGATGTCTCTCTGTCCACTCTGCAGGACTGTCCCCAAGTTCATGAAGCGCAGTAAAGTCCCTGACTACAGGGACAAGATGGTTTTTGGGGTGCCACCCATCGTCAACGTGCAGCGGACGGGGCAGCCCCTGCCCCAGAGCATCCAGCAGGCCATGCGCTACCTGCGCAGCCAGTGCCTGGACCAGGTGAGGCTGTGGCTGCTGAGATTTGAGGGGAAAAACAGCTTTGGGGGGTCCTTTGTTCACCTCTTGTGGTGTGTGCTGAAGCAGGAGGGTGTGATTGTCCATGAGAACCCAGCAGCATCCCCATGGCCATCCCTCACTCAGTGTCTGCTTGGGTTCAGGGGTGATCCCTTGGGGAGGGGGTCTTTGCCTGTCCCAGTGGTGCCCACCCAGGCTGGTGCCTGCTGATCCCCGCTCTGCTCTGCCAGGTTGGCATTTTCCGCAAGTCCGGGGTGAAGTCCCGGATCCAGGCGCTCCGGCACATGAACGAGACCAGCCCCGAGCATGTGGACTACTCGGGGCAGTCGGCGTACGACGTGGCCGACCTGCTGAAGCAATACTTCCGCGACCTGCCCGAGCCCATCTTCACCAGCAAGCTCACCGACACCTTCCTGCAGATCTACCAGTGTAAGGGCCGGCCTGGGGGCGCCTCGGGGAGGAGGGGTCCCTCTGTTTGGATGCAGGGGATGGTGGTGGCCATGAGGACACCCCACTGACGCCGCCTCATGCCCACAGTTGTGTCCAAGGAGCAGCGGCTGCAGGCGGTGCAGGCCGCCATCATCCTCATGCCAGACGAGAACAGGGAGGTGCTGCAGACCCTGCTCTACTTCCTGAGTGACATTGCCTCAGCTGAGGAGAACCAGATGACAGCTGGGAACCTGGCTGTGTGCCTGGCCCCCTCCATCTTCCACCTCAACGTGTCCAAGAAGGAAAGCACATCACCCAGGTAAGGGCTGGCTGAGCTGTCCAGTGTTCCTTCCCTGCCTGCTGTGGGAGGGGGAATGGTGACACATGGGGGGGCCTGTTGGCTCTGCTCTGTGACACAAATGAGGGGGTGCCCACTGGTGTCAGCGCTACCTGATCCCCCACAGGGCCATACACAAGAGGGGCACCATGGGGAAGCCGGACCAGAAGGACCTCAATGAGAACATGGCTGCCACGCAGGGGCTCTCCCACATGATCGTTGACTGCAAAAAGCTCTTCCAGGTGGGTGACAATGGTGTCCCAGCGCTGCGCTGCCCATGGGACGTGTGACCTTGCTGGCAGGTGTTTGTCCTGAAGCACCTCAGTGGGACAGCAGCCACCAGCCATTTACCCTGGAGCCAAGCCCAGATATGTCCTGGGGCTGGAGGTGGTGCAGGCTGTATGTCCATGCTCCCTCCTCCCTGAGGAATGAGTTATGGTTCTCTCTCTGTGACCACTCACAAAGTCCCCACAAGATCTCTCTGCCTCACTGAACATCCATGTGCTTTTTGGCTTGCAGGTCTCCCATGACATCTTGCTGCAGCTGAGCAGCTCCTATATGGCTGCAGATGCTTATCCCCATCCCCTGGCTGACTTGGTGTGCCAGGGAGAGAGCAAGGATTTACACTCCTACTTTGAGCAGAGTGTCCAGAACCTGCTCAAAGAGTCAACAGAGAAGTTCAAGGGATGGCTGAGCACACCGGGGCCCCTGAACACGGAGCTGTCCTGCAAAAAGGTAAATTTCTGTGCAGAGGCTTAGAACATGCAGGGAGATGTGCATGATGGGGTGACCTCTGCAGCAGCCAGAGCAGGTCCCAGCCCGTCCCTCACTAGCCAGCAGATGGGACTGTGCTGCTCTATGGCAGTGGGAGCCATCAGTGCAGCTGCTCAGGGGTTGGCACTGGGGGTCCTGTGTGACAGTCTGTGTGACCCTCCCCTCATCCCCTCAGGTTGGGGACGGGAACCCTCTGCGCCTGTGGAAGGTCTGCACGGATGTCGAGGCCCCTCCTGCCACGGTGCTGCACCGGGTGCTGCGGGAGCGTCACCTGTGGGACGAGGACCTGCTGCAGAGCAGGGTGGTGGAGGCTCTGGACAAGGACATGGAGGTGTACCACTACGTGACAGACAGCATGGCCCCGCACCCGCGCAGGGACTGCATGGTGCTCCGGTGAGGGGGGCTCGGTGGGGCACATCCCCTCTGTTGTATTGCACTGAATAGTTCATTTAGTTGTTGTTTTGCACTGAGTGGTCCTTATATTGCACTGAATATTTGGTCTTATATCACATGATTTGTTCTTCCCCCATCACATGGTCTTTCTCTCACCCACCCCAGTACCCCCCCGTGGTCTCTTCCTGGGTTACCCCTTGCCACTCCTCACTGGTATCCCACTGGTTGTGCTCCTCCTTCTCTGCCTCCCATTCCCCTGGATATAAAAGTCTCCCGCCATCAGGCCATGCCATCTTTCTCACCTGGGGAGTCACCAGAGCTTGAGGTGTCTCCTAGCAAGTCATTAAGGACAGCCATCTCCACGTGGAAAAGAGCACTATCAATCTTTTCCTTTCGTCTATGTAAGACGGTGTGGGGTAGGGTCAATAGCTCGCCAGAGTGGACACAAAGAACCCATTGAGACACAGTTCTACACTCCTCTGCTCCAGCCCCATCTCCTCCTCCTCCTTTCCTGAGCTCTGTGGGGTCCCCACTGTGTGATCCCATGGAGGGCAGGCAGTGACGGCTGCTGTGTTGCAGGCGCTGGCGCACGGACCTGCCGCGGGGAGCCTGCCTGCTCAGCTCCCTCTCGGTGGAGCATGACAAGGTGCCGGTGGAGGGAGGCGTCAAGGCCATCGTGCTGACGTCCCAGTACCTCATCGAGCCCGGCGCCATGGGCCGCTCCCGGGTCACCCACATCTGCAGGGCTGACCTCAGGTAACGGGACCCTCAGGGTGGGTGTGGAGCAGCAGCAGCAGGATGTGCTGCTTCATGGTACTGCCAGGGCCTCTCCTGACCACTCACCCCCTCCTGCCTCTTCTCTTCCCCAGGGGTCGGTCTCCCGAGTGGTATAACAAGGTCTTTGGCCACCTCTGTGCCATGGAGCTGGTGAGGATCCGAGACTCCTTCCCAGCCCTGAGTCCCGTCGGCCCCGAGACAAAGATCTGAGGCAGCAGGAAGATGCTCTGTCCTTTCAGACGTGGACTTGCCATTGGATCCAGACTGGGGCTCTCAGCAGGAAGCACGGTGTGGTGCAGTGCCCGTGGAGGGAGACAGAGGCACATATTTATAAACATCCTTTCACCCCAGGCTGGGCAGTCCCGTGCCACAGCCCAGGTGCTGCGGGACAGGGTGGCCACAGAGGGGAAGCCGTGGTGTCCCACAGGAAAAGTGGGGGAGCAGAGGGAAAGAGTGGCCATGGGGGGACCCCTGAATGCAGCCTGTGGCAGGAGCTGGGGCCCCCACACAAGCCAGGAGCAGCAGTAGGGCTGAAGGAGCGTGGAGTGAGGCAGGAGGAGCGAGCAGGGAAAGCGGGGCCGTGTCCGCAGGTCGCAGTGCAGGGGTGGGAAGTGAGGGTGGGCAGTGAGGGGGGACTGTGTGTGTGGTGTCACCCGGTGGGGACAGCCAGGGAGTCACTGTGTGGTACTGGAAGAGGCTGCTGTTCTGGGAGGAGGGGGCTGCCTATAGATACATAGGTGCCAGCCCCTGTGGAGGGGCAGATGGAACCTGTTGAATGCGTGGAAGAAGCAGCTCTGTACTCCTGTGCCTTGCTCTTCCTTGGCTAAAAGCCCTCTCTGTGCACTGGGTGTCACTGAGAGGAGGGGTGCATGGACCATGTTCCAAGCCAAGGCCATCCTCAACCAGCCAACCCGTTATTTGCATGGGGCAGGACACTCTGGAGCCCTGGAGCAGCTGTGCCTGGGTGGGAAGCGGCAATGCCTTGGTGGGGAGATACTCCCCAGACCAGCTCCCCCTTTGTGCTGCCCTCAGTGTTGAGGCCTGTACCCAGAGAGGGAGGAGGGAAGGCAGGAAGGGCAGTTGTTTGGGATTCACCCCTCTTTGGGCAGCTACACATGGCCCATGCCCACCTACTCCCTGCACAGACATCCATTCCCCTTTCCACTCCTTCCTTCCCTTCATGAAGGAACTGTTCACTGGAGCTGTCAGCACCCAGGACATGACCTGGTTTCTCCATTCAGGCAGGGACCCAAATTCCCAGACGTCGTTCCAGCTGGAAGGCAACACGACCCATGAGCTGGGGACCCCCAGTGTCAGTTTGGCCATAGCTGTCTGTCTTTTGGTAAAAAGAAAAGCACAAGTCAGCCTCTAGTCTGTGTTTTTATATATATGTATTTTATATATATAAATATAAAAGTGTAGCTAACATGTGCGGGAGTGAATTTTATCCTGATATTTTTTTAAAGTGTTTCTTTTTTTTAATCTATAAATACTTGTACAGGTGGAATATTAATATATAACTCTGGTGTCAGAGCTCAGCATCAGGTGATGCTCACTTACAGCTGGTATTTTGTATTTAAGGGACTTCTGTTTTGTATCATATGAAAGTGCAGCAGTTGTTTGACTTGGATTGGGGCTGCTCTTCCCATCCATGCAGTTAATAAAGTACTAACAAGGTCTGCTGGCTGATGAGGAAACCTCCATGTTCAGGGCTTCTCCAGCACTGGAGCAGCCCAGTGCTGAGCAATGTGTGCCCTTGGGCCAGCCCCTGCGTGGGTGAAGAGACTCAAACCCAGCATTTTCCACATCCAGCTGTGCTCCAGGGCCTTGCCAGGGTTTGGGGCTCTCCTGGCATTGCCATCTGCAGCAGGCAGAGCACCTGGGGGAGGAAGATGAGCATCCAGCATCAGTGATGCTGATGAAGAACAGCCACATTGTGCTGTTGAATTCCCTGGAGGAGACACCTCTGGCTGCTGTTTTGGAAGTAGTGATGGGAGGGAATGGGGTGGAGCATGCTGGAGTAGATGAAGATGATGGTGATGAAGGCTGCAAGATAAAAGCCTAGAGAGTAAAAATCCCTTTCTGAGCTTGGGATTGGCAGCAGCAATCTGCTCTGGCTTTTAGCACTAATGGGCAGAGGTATTGGGGCAGCCCTGGCTCATCCCAGATCCACCATGGCCAGGGCTGCAGCACTGGGATGGAGATGGTACCCTCCCCACCCTGGGATGGAGGCCGAGCTGGAATCTCTTCCTCCAGGGTCCCAGCAGGATGGCAGCACTCCACAGAGCCACCCAGGCACCCACTGCTGGAGGGGAGTGAGCTCTCAGGGACCCCCACTCCCACAGGGACCCGTCTTGCCTCACATTGTCCTCATCCCCGAGTCCCAATTCCCCAGTGGATTGAATGAAGAGTTCCCCACCCCTGCACAATGCTGTGCTGGGTGCAAACACTAAATAATACCCCAAAGCCTCTGCAAAGCTGGCTGGAACCATCCCAAGGCTTTTGGGCTCACCCCAGCCAAGCTCCCAAATCCAACTCTCCTCACCACCATCACCTGATCAGTCCAAAACTGTTTTCTTCCAACCCCTGCTTTGCAGACACAAACATGTAAAATCAATTTCTTACTGAAATCCTCCAAGTTTCATTAACAGAGATTTATGTTTTCTCCCTGCACATTATTACAGATTAATCTTTTCAAACCTTATAAAAGCCAATCCCTACAACCTAACAAACCCCTGCATTGGGAAATGATTGCAGAGCAGCAATGCCAGGCTCAGTTTGGCTTAATTAGAGATAAAAGGAGAGGAAATCATTCCTTATTAGCCAGTCAGGTAGAAGCTGTACTGTATTTAGAGTGCAAACAGCCCAATTACAGGGAGGAACATGCACAGTTGTCTTTCATTACAGGTACTTGAAAATGTGCATCTGGGGAAAATTAATAATGATTCTGAGAAGCTGCAGCCATCCCAGCTGGCTGTGTGGGCCATCCCCTGCACAGGAGTGATGCTTGTCCAGCCTGACTATTTCCCCATCCCTGGCATCCTGGGGCTGTTACCTCAGCCCTGGCAGAAGGATCTTTAAAGGCTCAACCACAGCTCTCAGTGCACAGGTAGCACCTGGTGGTGGAGTTTATCTGCCTCACCCCCACCTACCCTTCTCAAATTCACCTCCCTCTGTGCCAGGGCAGGGCCCCTGTGGCTCTGCAGCTTCTCTGTCTCCATGAGCAGAATGTTCCCCTTGCCCTAAATCAGCCCCAGCCAGGAGAAACCCTCATGTCCCAGGGGATTTAAGCAGTATCTTCATGCTGGGGGGCTTCCAGTGGGCTGGAATAAATTTCTCAGGGGATAGGAGTGAGCTGGTTTCTCTTCCTGCACCCAGTTCAGGCTTTTTAAGCCCAGGCAGCAGCTCAGCACCACAGCCACTCACTCCCACCACCCTCCTCATGTGGGGATGAAAATGGGAAAGAAAAGGGAAACTTTGTGAGTTAAGAACAGCTTAGCAATTAATCCAAAAATTATAATGCCAATGAAGAGAGAGAAATAAACCCAAGAGAAACAAGTGATGCCCAGTCCAGTCACCCACCCCCTGCTGTCACAGCATCTTTACACTCTGGCTGTATTTCTCAACATGAGCTTTGTTAGCGGTCCAAGAATTTCCCACCCTTTGGCAGCAGTCCTGGTCCAGCTCCTGGGACTGCACCTCCTCCCAAGCCTGGGTGATGTAGGGCTGTTGGACACCTCCCACCATGGGTTCAGCCTCTGGGTCGTGCAGCCCAGCAAATATTACAATGCAGACCCTGAGGGGCTCCGGGAAGGCTTGTGCAACCTCATGGCATAGATTTATATCCTGGGATTGCAAAGGTGTGACCTCCATGGCAGAGCTCTGCAGTCATGTCCAGGCAGTGCAGCATGGCTGGGCAGGCCCCTTCCCACCAGGATAACTTTGTGTTTGGGCAAACCAAACCAGCTTTTCCTTTTGCTTTGTTTGCCACTGGGATGAGCCCTCAGTTCTCACTCAGGCCTGGCTTCCCTGGAGCTTTTTCCCTGTCTCTGGATGAAGACCACACCACCTGCCTGGCCTGGCAGTCACACAAACAGGCACTCTGATTTTAGCATTCCTGCAGAACGGACATTGTCTGGTGATGGATAAAATGGGAATTCAGGCATCCTCCCTGCCTGACTCCACTGACAGAGATGTGGGACAAAAGCATTCATTTTTACATAAAAGAAAGGGCTGTGAACCCATGCAGTGCTCCCAGCCCTGTGTTGGCATCCTGACAGACACAGCTCCTGCTGGGATCACACACCCACCTTGGAGAAGGGCCTGCCCTGTGTCCTGTGGGATGGTGAGTGTTCCCAGCAGGAATCCCAAGGGATCAGCCCGCTCCAGAACACACATTATCCATCTGCAGCTCCCAGCCCAAGGCACCTCACTGGGCTCTGCACTCCTTTTCTGTCCTCAGGTGCAGGAGAAGATCCTTCAGGCAGAAAAGAGATGGAAGGGGGCAAATGGGAGATAACATTGCTTTAACTGGGACTTTGAAAGACTAAAAAGGAATACAGACAGAGTCCTGCTGGAAACAGATTGCACAAATCTGACCAGATCCTGAAGGTAAGTGAAGTCAGACAGTCCTGGTGGCAAGGGGAACACCCAGATGCTGAAGGAAGCAGGAGACCAAGTTGTTCTTAGAAGCAGGGATGGTTTAGTGGCACAGCTACAAAAGAGACGGAAGGATATTTGGGCAAGCTGCTCAGAGGATGCTCTAGCTCTCCCTTCAGTGACAGTCACTGTGCCAGTCCCATGGTTTTTAACTGGAATGAGGACACCCTGCAGATCCCTCGCTGTGGCTGCAGAGGTCAGGAGGGGATCCCATCCTCCCCAGTTGCTCCATCCTCAGTGCTGCTGCAGCTGAAACTGGGGCAGCACTGAGGCACTCCCAGGGCACTCTATGATAACAGAAGTGATGCTGCTCCCAAGTGCTGATCATTCTCATGACATCCTGTTTCTGCTGGGGGCTATGAGAGGCTTTCTAGGGCAGGAGCACATCACATCATCTGCTGCAGTTGTGTGCTGTGGGACAGCTGGCAGGCGAGCGGCTCCTGCTGCCCTGCCCTGCTCTCACTGCTCCCTCAGTGCCTCTAGAACAGGCAGTTCCACCCTGGGTGTTTTCCCTGCCTCTGCAGCCCTGCCAGGAGCTGGTGGCATTTCATGTTTCTTCCCAAACTATGCAGGATTTGTACTGTCTCTCATCAAACTCCTGTTTGTCACCTGGTGTGAGTTTATCACATTTGTAATTTTATCAAGATAACAAAAGCCTCCCCAACCAAACAAACCCCACCCCAACAGCATCACAACCTCTGGTTCCAACTGAGATATCTCCATAAAGCACAGCCCCTTCCTGGAAAACCTGCTTTTCCCAGAAACTTCCCCAGCATCCCAGCCCCAACTCCAGATGTAGAAGCAACATTTGCAATAATAATCAAATCTTTAGCAAACATCATTAGTGACAGCTTGCCAATGAGCAGAAATAATTACAGGTAATTGCTCTATGGACAGCCAAGCAGGGAACACCATTTTCTCCATGTTAAACAGGGAAACACAAGTAGGGAAAGAGAAGAACCAAAGTTGTGTAAGGCTACAAAATGTGGAGAGACATCCGCTCTGACCCTCCACCACCTCCTGCTTGTGCAGGGGCCTGAACCACAGCTCCAGGAGCATTCCCAAGGCTGGCATCTGGAGGCACAGCTGGATATTTGCCTTGTCACCGTGCCCCTGGTGTCGTGCCCCCAGCAGGACACCCCAGTGTCCCCCTGTCCCCTGTTGGGACTCTGCCATCCCCACCCGGCTGCTGTGGAACACCTCGGGAGAGTCACAACAAACCGGTGGCAGTTCAGGGCACCGCGGGGAGCGGATTATGCAAATGAGGACATCCGCTTTAATGGCATTCCAAGATTTTTAGTCAAATTTAATTACCTTCCTTCTTCCCCCTCCTCTCTGTGCCCGTCCCTGATCAAATTAAAACAAACAACCCCCAGCAGAGTGTTTGTGACAGGAGTCGTGTTGGAGACTAATTAAAACCTGACGATTGTCACCGCGACGAGGCTGGCAGGCGGCATGGGGACAGGAACAGGGCACGGGGACAGGGACAGGGCAGGTGGCACTGGATGCTCCCCATGGCAGCTCATTATCCGCTCCCGTGTCACGGCTCCTGCCCGTGCCACGGCTGGCAGGGAGGGACCTGCAGGAGGAACACAGGGTCTCAATTACTTCTGCGATAATTTAATGGACTAATTAATAAACCCGTGTGGCACCTTTTCCAAGGTCTGTGAGGGATCTGCCGTCTGCCATGGAGCTGGGGAAGGGACAGCTGGGCTCAGTGCCCTGTCACACACTGTCCCCTTTACAGGGATGGTCCTGGGCACACAGGGGCTCAGGCTGGTGCTGGCAGCTCCCTCCACGCCAGCCCAGCGTGGGTTCTGTGTTTCTGCCCTGCTCCCCCTTCCCAGCAAAGCTCCAGGTTTCACCTTGGTGTCGAGACACCCCCAGTGTGCTCTCCTGAGGATTTTGCCTTTTTTTCCCCCTGTGTTTTCCAGGGCCCGTGTGTGCTCAATCCCCCTGAGACTGAGCCGGCTGCTCCAGGTCCCTGTTCCCCTGGGCACACAGGTCCAGCTGGGCTGGG